ATTTCTTACCCTTTTGCCCCAATCCCCCCTCCCCGCCAACCTCCCCAGCAAAACACTCGATCCAACAATGGTTATGCCTATTATATTCAAATTATATAATGACTTAGCCTATCATTTGGATTAATCAATTATTTAAAATAGAGGCAACAAAACGTCATCATTTTCTATTTGATTTTTAATATTTGATATCTGGCAAAAAACTGACCTTTGCAGTTACGAAATATTGAAAGATGTGTTATATATTTCAAAAATTAACATCATTTCATGTCAAAAATGCAAAAAAAAAAAATGAAAATTATAACAGAATGATTCCTATATCTTAGCAAAATTTGCTACGAAAGAAAATCTAAAACTGACAAAAGTTTTCTCACCGTTGGCTCCCAGCTCAACAGACTGTAATCAACTGATATGAAATTATTTTCAGGTATCTGGCAAAACCAATCTAATTTCAAAGCATTGGAAAAAAAGCTTCAAAGTAAAGGCAAATTTCAATCCTGATATTTCCACATTGTAGTTATTTGATTTCCCTGGCCGCCAGCTGAGAAAAAGGAAAAAAAATGAAGTAAAATTGGTAGAGCCAAACCTTTCACACCTGTTTAAACTAGTGAAAAACATAAGTAATCTGACTCATACTTGGTAGCAACATAGCTTAAAGCAATCAGCGGCATTTAGAGGCAGCATAGCCACATCATCTTTCAGTTGAAAAAATGTCCATAAATTACTTCATCTTCTAATAAGCACTGAAATCATGGCAGAATTTTTTTTTTCATCAGTTACTCCATTTTTCTTATAGTCACAAAGTTCTAGACAGTATACAATATATACCGAGGTAAATGGAGCCTATGTTCATCTAATATTTCTCCATATTTATTCCACTTTAAAGATGGCTACCAATGGAGTTGTTTAATTGGATGTTTTTATCAGTGTGTGTGTGTGTGTGTGTGTGTGTGTGTGTGTGTGGAGGGGGGGGAGGGTCTTAACTTCTTTGTCATTTAAACTCTTTAGTATATGAGTTTAAGAGCCATGGGCTCTTAAAAGAGTATTTTCTTTTAGGTGTTTGTTTCTAAATACCTTTCTTGGGTACTACTAAATGCTTTGCCACTTACTATGAACGTTATAATATATTGCATCATCTTCAGTGACAAAATACCGGTATGTTTCTATTTAAAGTAGCTGATTGCATAAATCCCCACCGATCAGCGTTCTAAATTCACACAAATCTAATTGAAAGTCCAGGCTGCTAACCAGTATTGGCAGTTTGATTATTCAATGATCAGAAATAGCTCTGATACAATGTATGAAGTTGGTAATTGGTAAAATGGTAAAAACTTATCAAATTTTTTTCTTCTAATTTTAACCTCACATTTTGATATCCGTCCATGAATTTTGGAATTATCAGGTATTCTTCAGTGCTAACCTGTATTCTTGTACCTTACATGGTATATATTTAATGTAGTAATTATCACACCTGAGTGGCCATATGTATATGAAGATCCAGGTGTGTCATCACAGGTATTACCTGGAGTATTGATACACTTAAGGTCCGGATCATCTACCATCATTCATTAATATTCATGCCTGTTCATCTGTGTTTAATTTACCTTGAGGGCTTTATGTCTGCATCCCTCATCTGTGGGCTCATTTCCAATGAAATTATCATTCAACATAGATCGATCCAACTTCATGTGGACTATCCCTGAATGCAACAAGATTAACACGCTTCTGGTGATTATACAAGAGGGTTCGAAACCAGGTGCAGCATGTTGATCTGACTGCATTCAGCAAAAAATCTCTGCAGAGTTGGATCGATCCACATGACACTTTTACTGGAAATGAGCCCTGTGCCACATTTACACATGATACACTAGTTGTAGGGCATTAATGCTGTTGACTGATTATTTTCTTATTGATTCATAATTTTAAGACTCTCATGGCGATTGACCATTGACTGACCATCGGGCAGTTCTTCATGTAACCATAGAGTTGCAGTGCTGTTGATACCCAATACAAGTGTTATTAATTTACGATTCCATCAGGAAGGGATCAGTTGAAAGGCATCAATAATTCAGGCTGTGATGTAAGACGGGGAAGAAAAACTTGCAGCCTATATTTCAAAAAGAAATGCTATTCTAAAAAGCTTTGGCGCATGCAGATGGTATCGTTTGTTCTTGTTAAGCAAGTTTTGAGCTTTGAGTTGCGATCCTATATCTGAAGTCAAAAGATTATGTATTTATACTGTAACAGGTGATGCCAGACATTAGTATGAACCAAGATTGGATTTTGTGCAATATTGGAGTCAAATGATCAAATGATATACAGGGATATGCCAGAGTTTAATCAGTTACATGTAACAGGCAGTTTGGCATCAAGTTTTATTAAAATCAACTACAATATTAGATGCATTACAGAGAAGAGAGAACATAACCAGAGAAAAAAAAATGAAAAAAAAATTGCAGAAATACTCAGCCCATTACTTCCAATTTATGAAGGGAGATCAGGCGAAAGTACATAAAACAATGTACTACCATGTAAAATATTCCCAGGAAATAATTCAGCAACCATCTGGTCATCTGGGAAGATTGTATTGGGATTTGCAACCATGCTTTGGAAAGCAGCGGGGTTGTTGGCATTGATTCGAACAAGACTCGAGGTCCTTATGTTGGAAGTTAGCATCCCAGCAAATGGTTATGCCAGATTGGAAGGAGTTTTTTTTTATCTCAGTACACGGCCTTTCTTTTTATCCAAGTGCATCTATAGTAAACAGGTGTGAGGCAGACTTCTTGGCCATTCAATGCAAACAGTCTATTCTGGTCTGAAACAGTTGTATACTCTGCCGGAAAACATAGATGTTGGATACCACTACCACAACTAGGGAACCCCGCTGGAACCCAGCAGGAGGAGTAACTAACAGGCATTAAGATCAGAAGACTGATTTTTTGACTGCCCATGGTTTTATGGCAGCTGCCATTCCGTGACGAGTTGACTTTTCCAATGAACCAAGATTTTATGACATTGCAAAACTAATCTAGATTTGCAAATGGTGGAGATTCACGCATTCAAGGCAGTACATATTCAAAAAAAGTTTCATTATGAATCAGTTTTCTCTTTGAAATAGAATATTTTCTGAATTTTTTAAAGTCAGGCAACCAGATAATTTTTTTCTGACTTAAGATAACAGTATTTCAGGTGGAGCTAAATAAAATGAAAAGGATTAGGTTTATTGGCACAATAAAGTTGACATCATACATGGACAGTGAATAAAAAATCCAGAAGATATCAACAAACAATGTGAAAACATTTGGACGTACTGTACATGGCCAAATATGTAACAAGCTGTTTGGTGAAAAGATGTGCTGTTATCAGAAATATGTGGTGTATGTGACAGACCAGACATCTTATCAGTCTAATATAGCACTGGACTCATTCCTGGAACAAGACCTAGCTGTGACTTACATAAGGATCTGTGGGCCTTTTCGTCATTCCAGGATTATTCTTAATACACATGTTAAGTAATACTTTTCTTGGGGACAGCGCGCTGTGCCGAAGGTTCGCTGTGCCGAGGGTTCACTGTGCCGACAAAACCGGAAAATTGGTCTAAAATCGGCTAAGTTTTTCCGGAGCCCCAAAATCAAAGGTTCGCTATGCCGATGGTTCGCTGTGCCGAGGGTTCGCTGCGCCGAAAAAGTCGGCTNGCGCACCCCTTTTCTTGATGGTTTATCCTGCAGTGATAAGTAGTGTGGTACTATCTTAAGAGTGTTCTAGAAGCCAGGAAGCAGTACGTTGTGAGCAATGGGAAGTAAGTAAAAGTTTAAAGAAAAAACTGCATGTGTACAATAACTCCAGCCAGACTAAGTGCTTTATTGGGAACTTATGAAAGCATAGCATTCATTGGCAAATATATATATATAATGAAAACAGACAAACAAACCCAGCAGTGTTGGATATTTGATGAAAATGAAGAAGGGAAAAAGGACTTTGTAGAACAGTTTGCTGCTTTATCGAGAATCGGCCAAAGTATGCAAAAACAAACAGACATTTGACCAGTGTTATCAAATGCATTAAAACCAATACAAGCACCTGTGATCACACAGTGGTGGATTTCTGTATCTTCACAACATGGAACCAGCTGTAGGGAAGGTCATGACTTCAGATTTTGAAAAAAACAAAACAAATTGAATAAGATGCCAATGACTACCATGAGGTGTGGGACGTGTGAGAGGGAATTTATGTTTGACTTGCTTTAGCTCTCTCTCTCTCACTGAGTCAGCGGAGACCAGCTCAGTAACAGCAGATATCAAAGCTTATCCTGTGATTAGAGGTCTTAACCAGTTTGGCCAGTTTGAAGCAGCAGAACAAGCAGAGCTCTTTCCCTTTTAGAAAGCTGAGGACTCTAACTTCAACTACTTACTCCATTGGATTTATTGCCCTGCGACTGTTGTGGGATCTTGGTGGAACAGTAATGCAATTGTTACTCAGATATCAGGATCCAGACTTCTAGTCCATTTATTTAGAATATTGAGAGAGTACGCTGTAACTTAGGCAGTACCGGTATATGATAGGAGTTAAGACCTGTATACTCCAGGAACAGGATATATAAAACAGCATCAACTTTATAGGATTAACAAGATATTAAAGCTAGGAAATTCAAAGAGACAGTGTATCAGAGAGGCCAATTACTGTGTGGATATCCAGTTGGAAGGTTGGTGTCCCCATTGGCTATCTTACCACATACCAGTACAGTGAAGGAAACAGCCAGCTAGGATCCTGCCAGCTGTGATTTCTGGGATATTCATATCTTTTGTGCAATGATTTCATGCCTGGCTATAACTCAGTCAACTTGAAACAGAAAGGATTGTGTGCCTCAAAATATTGTTATTATTTAATTGATAATCAGTCTAACCATAGCCACACCTTAATGTATCAGCCATGCTGAACAAGCTATGGAAGAGGATGTTTTTTCTTTTGAGTTCATCTGTCTGTGACAAGTTATAGTTATATATAATCTTAATGGAAGACTAATACATAGTGACCGCAAGTGCTGACCATGGTATGCCTTGTACAGGCAAGGTACTGACCATATCATTTACACAGTCTCTCTGATCCAGATGGACTTTCTTCCTGGTGGTCTTCATTTTATTAAAAAAAAAAAAACGGTGCTTTGTCTTTCCATGCAACCTGTAACTGGCAATATTACACCAGATGAAACATACCAACAAGGAAAACTCAATGGATATTATACCAAAACTACGATAGCAAAACAGGAAAATCCAGCAAAAATGGAGACAGTATGATACAAGTATGCTGAAAAAGCTTTTAAAAATTAATTTGCAAGGAGATGATTTCTATATATTGGCTAGAATCTTTCAGTGGTTAACATTTGTCTAGTGAAGAAAAAGTGAACTTTTTCATCACCAGGAAAGCTACCAACCTCCTGCATTAAAAGACAGAGCTGCCAGAAATCTCAACTTCATATTTTCCATGAAAATAATTTTACAAATTTATCGCAATCCATGCAGTGATTTTCTTAAATTTTACCATGTTCTCTCATTGGAGTTAAAATATCAAGCAAAATCAAACAGTAACATATGTTGGTGTATTTTGTTTTACCCATATATGTAGCAAAAAATGGGTTCTTATGCTGACAGACATCGTTTTACAACAACTGTTTGACTTTTAGCATATGACTTATTCATGTAAACATATGTATTTGGTTCAAGCCAGCAATTCATTTGAATGCAAACATTGGAAGCACTGCTGGTTCTCAAATAACAGGAACATGGACATGATGTCCATTTTTTCCCCAACTTTCTGAAGTGAATAACAGTGTTGAACTACACACATGAACATTTAATTTGTTCATCTCTTTTGAAGCCATTTTAACAGAGGACTTGACTACAAGAAGTATTCTGAAGCACGGACATATTCAGTTGACTTGATCTAATGCATTCCAAATTCAAGTTGGTGATAACACTCTATTTAATCATCGTCCGGTTAGTGCCCCTCAATGTAGGTAAGTACATCGTGGCTATCTTGTCCCTATCTAGACTACAGGAAATTAGAGGCAGATGCCAGAACTACTCAAGTCACTTAGCTGATAGCCATTTGCTTGAATTGTATGGAAGGTGAAAAGAATAGAAATTACTTTAAGTATTCACATGGCTCATTTTTTCCAATAAAATCTTAGTTTTTTAAGGTTTTACAGGCTTAAGCTACACACAAAAAGTCATCCAGAAACAACATTGTTTTAGAGAACATACTGTCAAATTGAATTTGTTTTATTCAAATTTGATAGGTGATTAGTGTTTAGTAAAAATTATATTAAATATTGGCAGTCTGAACTTATTTGACAATTTCTTTCATGTAACAAACTGATTATTTATTTATTTGTTGTTTTCATATATTTGTATCTGACAGTAAAAAAAGCACATGTCCAGTTACTAGTGTAGGCATAAATTGTGGAATTTTCAGCCTGCACTTTGATTGTTACAAACTTCTTCAGATATTTAATCTAAATTCTCAGTTCACTTCACAGAAGCACAGAATGCAACAAGGTTTGTTATTATGCAATTTTTTCTGTAGAATTATATGACAAAATACTAGCAACAGGGGCTATATGTTGTATACACATGTTCTGGCTTCCATATGTTTTAAATGTGTCCGTAAACCTGACTAACCCATAGAGCACCCCGCCCCCCCCTCTGAAGTCCTACTGGTAAACAGCAGAAACAGGAATTCTGAACAAATAGGGTTCACATGAAATTCATTGAATGCCCTATTACAGAATGTGTTTGCAGTAAGACCAGTGAATTGTAATCCAAGAATAAGATGTTTCCTTTTTTAGGGGGGGGGGGAGGGTGAGAAAACAATGAGAAGCTGTGCTCTTGCTTGTTCTTGACTTCATACTTCACAGGTATTCAAAGATAAAAAATTTGCCCATCAGTGTATTTGGCAACAAACCAAAATTCTGTCTAGATATTTATTCTTAGTCATGATGCAAGAAGCATAGAAAAGAAAACTCAAACGGTTTGTTGTATCTAATTTAAAAGAGAGGATTTTAAAAATCTCAGCTGGGTTACTTCAATTTTTCAATCAGTATCACTTAAAATGTAATGTGCGTAGCATGTGCTGTATGATAAAAAGTCAATTTCCATGCAAGCTTTTTCATATTGGCAGTTTAAATCAGTTTTTTTTTAATTTAAGCTTAAATTAAAACACATTATTAATATATTAATGAAATAATATTAAGCAAGTAACTATGTCAAATTAATGCTGCAGAACTCAACAAAATGCCACCATTTAGTTTCAAATAGGTTACCTAAATGAAATACCAGTTTCATTACATCATTTTCCAAAAAACAATTTTTGCACAGATACTCTTGGATTTCTATCTGTGCTTTATATGCTGGAGAGAACATAAGAATCTCAAATTTACAACAAGAATTTAAACAAATCAGGATAGAAATATAAATGAAAAAAATGGTACTTCACTTTTCTTTTTTTTTTTTTTGCTAATATCCCGTCTTTATATGAATATATCTATTGTATTCATATTACTGGCCAGCTATTATCTGACATCCTGACAATTGTGGTCTATTTACATGAGGGCTATTAATATTAATAGATATATAGCCACCTACTTGTAGCTGCTCTGAAACTAGATTTCTTCAGCAAGTATTCTCATTCATTACCCACTCATCTTTCTATTTTTTTGACTATTTATTATTATTATTATTATTATTATTATTATTATTATTATTATTATTGGTAGTATACTGTCCCTCACATCAGTGGTGATCATGTACCAATTGCAAGTGCCTGCTATGTTTTCTTGATGCATATTATTATTATTATTATTATTATTATTTTTATATCTTCAGCTGATGATATACTAACAGCATCCAGGTTTCCTGCCCCCCACATTGGTGACTATGTACCCAGTGCCTGTTGGAACTTCACCTACGGCAACCAGCAAGGTTTACAAGAATTCTACAGCCCAAACTTCCCCAATAACTACGACAATGGCACCACATGTACACAAGTTTTAGCAGGTAATACTTAAAGTTTGCTTCAAAACTTTCTTTGTTTTTCCTTCTAGATATTTAGTTTATAATATTTCCAGCTTCATAAAATCAAATATGGAAATGGCCAGTGAAAAAGAGTTACACATTTATAAAAGAGTTATACCATACTACAGAACACATTTCAAAAAGTATAAGTAAAATTTGGTTCTCACACATTGCACTCCATTTACAACAGATAAACACTATATCTGGCACATTTTGTGCTGTAATTGAGCCTGGGTGTAGATGATCTCAACTCCCCGGGGAGGGCACTGGCAATACAGCTAATTGTTTTGTGATCATTAGGAAAACAGACAACCACATATTAGATCAATGTCAGATCTGAGTCACCCTATGAATGGAACAATTAAATCTATTATGTCTGTGTTAGCTAAAGCCCCCTTTACACTGGACGGCGTCCTTTCTGCGTCCAGCAGTACGGCCCCATTTGAGAGTTTAAAAATTATAATATTTTACCTGCCGACAACTGGCCGATCATTGAGCATTCATTCTGATACAAAATTAATGCTCGTGCCTCCTTATTAAGACCACAGCGATGCCAAATTTCATGGTCGCAGAGAGGACGCAGAAAGGACGCCGTCCAGTGTAAAGGGGGTATAAGTGACATAGCAGTCACATCATTGACCAGGTCTGGTATTTATTGCCTTTCTCTCTAATCACCTAATTCACTTAAATTTATCCGTTAATTCAGGAATGGCTGCTCAAAGGACATTCACTGCCAGCTAGGAACCCTGAGTTTTAAGGGCCACAGCAATAGTCCGAAGCTAAGGTTGATTAAAAAAACAATGAAAATGTTACCATTTTTTGGCCCAATGAACCTTCGTACTATCAAGATGCCCCTGAGTTTTAGGCAGTCAGTTTGCTCAGTCTACTCATTTACTGGCCTGTTGGCAGGGGGTTTTGGGTTTTTAATGAACCTACATGTAGACTTTCTTTTGGCTTGAAGAGCTCCATTCTAAATTTGAAAAAACTGGGGAAAAACATAAAATATCTGTTCAAATGTCATTTTTGGGGGGAAATATGAAACAATACCCTGTGGCATTTGTTTAAGTTATATATGCTGTTTGAAACTATACAATGTCATTTGGTCAGGTTTCTTGGCAAAGATTTGACATGGCAGCTCAGTTCAAATGCACTTTTAGTGGCTGAAATGGAAGGAGCATGCTCTTGCAAAGCAAACTTAATAAAACAACTCTGCATCATCCTGTTCCTAGATGTCATCAATCAAGACATTCTGATTCTTCACAGCATGGCAGGACACTCGGCACTTTGAGAACTCTAAAACATTTTCAATAGTCTAACTCTTGGAAGTAGATGATTGAATTTACCAGCTGTAATTGGTAATTATACGACATGCTAAGGAAATTCAAGTAATTCCTTTATTAGCCTGGTATCCAACCAACCACTTGTTGTAAAAATAAGTTAAATTGGCATCCAGGGTTTCAATGGTCATTGGAAACTTGTGGTAACATCTTATTCTTTTCAATGGGGGAAATTGTGCATATGTTACAAATACTATATTTTTCAAGTCAAAATTTTTCACAATAAGAACATTCCTACTACCATTATATGCAGTAATAGCAACACAAATGCCACAAAAAATATAATTTTTGTGATTATAATAAAACTATATGTATCTGACAGTTTGGCCATTGAAAAGACCAAGTAATTACCATACCAGTCAATTATCAAAATGGCTCTGCCCTTTCCACAGCTGTCCTTTATCCAGTGACCCCTGAACCACGGGGTGCTAAACTTGAGAATTTCATGTAAATAGCTGCGTAGCAGGTGGGTGCAATGTTCCAGCTACTGCCCAAAGTTATTTTTTAAAATGTTACCTAACAAGTACCCTAGGTTCTAGATTCCGGTATTGCCAGCTCGATCTTGATTTCATATATAACCCATAGTAGCAATACTACTAAAAGCGACTCCACCACAAGGTATATTTAGCAAGCTAGCTTTTACGTTGCTCTGACACTCAAGGTACTAACAAGGTGCTTAATAAACATCCCTAATGACTCCTTTAATTTTCAGTTTTTTGATGAATGCCACCAATATGTAACAGATTCCATTATATATTTCATTTCATTTAAGCTCTTGATTAAGGGTGACTGTGCCTTAAATTCAAACATAATCAATTAATCAAATATCCCTTCCTTATATAATATGATATTGTTTCTATAAAAACATTTGAAAGAAACTGCACGGTACATAAATCCACATTTGTTTCATATTGGCAAAGGGTCTTAAAGGATTACTAAAAATACCATATCTTGAAATTTCAAAGTAAAATAATATGGAACGAGTGAGGCGTTAAACTTTTTTTAAATAATTACCATTGGTGCCTTTAAAGAAAATTTTGATCATCTCCTGAAGACCCAGATGACTCTTTATATCCACCCTTGAGAAACAGATATCTTCAGGTTTGTTCTTCCAGGCTGTTGAGAACGCACTAAAAGATACACATATGTTGTCAGGTCATAAGTGTGGATGAAAGAAAAACAATACACATCAACTGCAAATGAATCGGGTTTGACATTTTCTGATACCTTATCTCAGGTTCATGTCCTTTGAGAGATTAATTCTGAATAGGATGCATCTTAAACAGAAAGTAATGATCTCACGAGCGAGAGAAGATCATCTTGGAAAAAAGCCCGGCAATGACATACGGGATAGCCAAAATATAAGCTTTTAGTTATTTTAAATATTTTCATTATAAAATTTTCCTATAAGAAAACCCTCAATTTCGTGACATTTTAAATATGTTGTATTTATGTATGTCATAAAATTCTTCATACTTACTATAAAACTTTAAAAAACACACACAGAGTCGGCAAAATGACCTTTATTTCCCATAATCTAGAACACTATAAGGAGAACAGACAAATTAAATAGTAATTAATTGGACCATAAAAAATTCAGCTATTTCTGCAACAGAAAATGAAATATCCCACCACTTGCGACTGAGTTAAGATAATGAAAAGTCCCGAATATGGAAAGGAAAGGGTAGCAGGAGAGCAGAGCAGAATAGGCTTTAAACTAACAAAGTTGGTGTACTAACGCAAAATATTACGCATGTTACAGCTTGCTGTGCTAAACAAAGACTGCCCCAGGAGTGAAAATTTAATAGGCATATGAAACAAAGCTGAGTGACCATTGGCAACGCTACTGGATGTTTTTCATGTGGCCTAGTTACTTAGAGCTGATAGGACAAAAATTGTTTTTCACATGACTAGTAACCACCCTTGGAAACAAAGGCCAGCTGCAGGCACCTTCCCTGTGTGTGCTTTTAAATACTCCTTATACTAAGGGGGCATGTTATATTGCTTAAAATTTTGAAAAAATTCTACAACTTGCATAAAATTAAAATGGGCTGCCAGAAGCCCATTTTAAAGGCAGTTTTGCCTAAGGTTTCTTTAGCTGAATCACCACTAATGGTAAATCTAGATATTTTAAGGTCCAGTATCTGTAATCTGCCTGGTTTTTGCACAATCACTTTCTGAAGTTGGCATGTTGCAACAACATTCAAAATATGCCATAATTAAATAATGCTTTGCACATGTGCATCGATTGACCTTCTCTGCTCTTTGCACACAAAATAAGTGACAGAGCTAGAAAGTTCAGAGAAGGAAAATATTTAGATTTGTTATGATATCCAGGTATACCACTGGATTGGAATCATGATTTCTTGTAACATCTCATGACTTTTCATCGTGCTTGGGTATGTTCCAGCTTTGTCTGCCAGCCTGTTGATGTTTTTTTTTCTAAATTTGTGAAACATGTATTTTTTTATATTTATATTGTACATTTTAAAAATTTAATATTTCTGAAATTAGTTTCCAAAAGATGCAACAAAAGTAACTTAAAAAATTGTCAATACCTAATATGATATTGTAATTTTGTTGTTTGGGATTATTGACATGATTAAGTGAGGATTAATAAAGTGCTGTAATATCTGTATGCTATTTAAATTATGAAAGTGTTGGTTTTGACAACCCACAGTTTTAGGAGTTGAATACAAAACTCCAGGATCCATTAATTATTGATGTCACTTTTAAAAGTTAAACTTAAAAGTTTAAAGATTTTTTAGAAAAAAAATGCAGATAAAGCAGGATGAACAGAACATTTTATACAACGGACTCCAGAGAAGCAAGATGTAACAATTATAAATATAATAACACTACTCAGAAGAGTTTGTCTATGGAAGCCTCTGAAGCAGAGGACACAAACAAGAAATGATATGAATGGAAATGTTGTACAGAAGTGCAGGTACAAGGTTTCTTCCAAATACAAAAAAAAAGTTATTCATATTTGCCCAAGAAATGATGACTAACGTTTTTTCTGCTTCTCAGCTGTTCCAGTAATTGTTGTTTGACCAATCCCCATGCTCCCCTCAGTTAAAGAGGACCACCATACCCCAAGGAGTATTACCCAATGTAGGGAGATGCTCCATCAGTTGCCATAGTTGCCATCTGCAACTTGCTTTACCACATCATAATCGACATATGAATTAGACCCCCTCTCCCTCTTTTTCTCTCTCTCCCCAGACCATTCCATACTTCATATACCGGCTACTGTAAATTCAGTGTTTCAGTTATCAATATATTTTAATGGTACACTATATATGGAGGCTAAGCATCACTTCACCCCTATCCAATTAAATATAACCCTTTTAATGCATATAATGTCTATCACCTGTCAGTATTGCTCATTTGATGCTTGTATTATACAAAATACTTGTATCTTGTTGATGATCGATTCAAGTGGTGACTGGGGCCCAAAAGGTTGTTGCAGAAGAAATGTTGAAGCGAATTTAGATAGTTCAATCTGCAAAATTATGTATAACTGTTTAATCATATCTTATTTCACTCACTGACAGTTGTACTTCATAACATATCAGTTGATTGACTTTCGGTATAATAACAAGAATATCAATAAAAACAAATAATGCAATAACAACCTTACTGTAAGTATTATCAAATAATGGCTGCTTTATTATAAATGAACAATATATTGACTGATTCTTGACAACATGTGGTCATTTTTTTCTTTTTTCAGCCCCACCAGGCTTTGTCATCAAACTTGAATTTCAATTTTTTAAAATTGAGCCATCATACGACTGTGAATACGATTACCTTGAGATCCATGATGGACCGTATGGGTACTCTCCTCTCATTGGACGATTCTGTGGTGCCAAGCCTCCGCCATTGATTAAGTCCACATCCCAGTTTATGTGGATCCATTTTGAGACAGATGGTACCATCGAGTACAAGGGATTTCAGGCTGTGTATGAATTTGTAAACCAGCCAAACACAGGTACCAGATGTCCTTGTTGCCTAATGATTTTTTCTAATTTCAAATTTTACAACTTTTGTACAGATCGATCATTAAATTTTGTGATTATACTTACATTATATTTTTTCAAACAAAAAGGTTGCCTATTAGAAAAACATCACCAACAGATCTCAATATCATTTCAAACAAAAAAATATGTATATATTATATTCTTATGTTCCACGGAGAACTGCATTGTTTACTTTCTTTAAATTCTCTTTAAAAAGGATGTGTGATGATTTCATTTCATTGTTTTTTTCTCTCAACTTATCAAAGTTAAGATCATTTAAATAGCCTTTAAGTTAGTAATACTTGGAGAACTCAAGAAAACTCTCTTAGACATTTAAACATATCAAAATTTCTGCTTTTGTTTACCTTACAGCACCAAGACTAGATGCAGGCCATGTAGCATGTAAGTGTGATTTTATCTTTGTTTTTGAACACTAAATGAACCTAAATTATAAAAGCCCTTCTGCCATAAAAACTTGAAACAAGTAAAATTAATATACATTATACATGTATACACAGTACTGTATATATATATACAGGTGTACATGCAATAAATTCTCCACCTTCATTTTATTTCTTCAAATTATCACTTTATTTATTCAAGTAATGGTTTGCTTTATACTTGATTGCCATATCACTCAACTGATCAATCAATTCATATATTCCGAAAGTGTAGTACTAGCAGAATTAATGGAAACAAAGAGCCATGGATCTCGATTTTTTTTCTCTGACAGTCAGCAGGTGTGACATATAATGAATCTAAATCTGCAATCTACTGTGTGTGTGTGTTTGTGTGTATATCTGCACATGCATGTGTGTGTGTGTTTGTGTGTGTGTGCACGGGTGGTTAAATGGACTTGGCAAAGGGCTGGATCTTTTTGTCTGTTATACAGGTATATGATGTTCATTATACACCTATTCAATTCTTTGTCATTAAACATGACCAGTAGACTTCCAGATGGTCAATATGATACAGGTTTATGTTAGGTCTTTATTAGGCGGTCTGAAACACTAGTGAATAAACAATATGACACTATATTTTCATATTGGAATTTCAGTCTGTCGTCTGCCAGTTGCTACAGATTTCTACCAAGATGGTAACCTGACCATAAAGGACCTTCCCCCAGGGTTGGTGGTGAATGCCTGGAATGGCACTGAAGACATGGACTGCACATGGGAAATATTTGTCAGACCAGGACAGAGAGTAAGATAGAGTCTGGAACCAAAAATTCCTGGGAAGGGGCATTTTTTCCATCCCAGCCCTTCCATCACCCTTAATTATAATAAGTAAGATCCCTGCATGTATCCTCAAAATTGATCCACTGACAGAAATAAAAAGAAATAAAGGAAAAGGAAAACAACATACCTACAAACAAAGGGACACTTTTTTTTATAACTTGGACTCAATATACTATAAAAATATACAGGAACATGACATAAAAATAAGAACAGTTTTTACTTCATATGTAGGTCTTCCAAAGATAAAAAGCTGTTTAGCAAATGATTATATCAGGATCATGTCTAAATGATCACTTAATTGGTAAAAAATGTGTTTGTTTCTTTAAGGTCCATCTGAAAGTTAGTTCTTTTGAAATGAAGAACCCTCTGGAATGTTCACTGAATTTTCTGGAAATATATGATAGGACGACAAGCATCCATCACAGGGAACGTCAGTTCTGTACTCCATCTTCAGGAGAGTACAAATCTGGAAGTAACAGAGTGTACTTACGTTTCCACTTACACAGGAACATCATAAGTGAATTTAAAGTGGATTATACTATATTTGAATACGGTAAGTTAATAAGAGGTGGGAATGTCTTCCCACAGTCTGCAAATCTTTTCAAAGGGCATGAAAGAGACAATCCATATTACAAGTATTTTTTGTTAAAAATGGAAATGTAAGTAAATAAAGTCTCCTGAGGCCATTCTTTCTAGACGTATTCCAATACCTCACATTTCCTCCTAATAAAAAAGATATTTTAGCAGAACCATTTCAGTCTAAGAGTCATTGATTTTGTTTAAAATTTCTATGAATAGATTTAAAGCGAAAGATTGTGATTTTATTGAAGAATAATTCAATCAAGCTCAGTTGTAGCCAATTTATCACAAAAGCAATCAGCAAAAATTCAATTTTACAAGTATGAGTCATACAGTTGCTGTTCTTTGTGGTAGTTGAGACTGAAACACAATGTCTTTTCTTCACAGCACTAATACAGTAACTTCAATAGAAGTAATTTTTTCTTTGAAAAGTTAAATGGATAACAACTGTTCATTTTGGCTAAAATAAAGATTTTACTAGGAAAAATGGCACTTTTCTCATACTTGTCAGTGGCTAATGAATATGTTACGACATTCAAAGTTAGTTGTTTTTTTTTTCTTTTTTTGTAAAAATCTTTTAAGAGAAGATTGTAGGTATAGCTATCTATTAAGGTCACATGGTCAGATGGCAAGCACAGATTCCAAAATAATTCAATAACCACAGTTTTGGTGGTAAAATGGAATTTATTATATTTCTTTGAGTTGCTAAAATGTATTTATTGTGAAATATGTATCTCACACGAATAGTTGGTAGCCCTTTAGTTGTGAGTTAATTTCAGATGTTTTAACATTAAAAAAGTTTTTTTTAGTATACAATATTAACACTTCATAGAACGACATATCTTTGAAACAATTGGTGTTTAAAATTTGCAAGCAATTATATATATTACAATGTGTTCCATGATTCCCAATTTCTCAGGTCCATGCAGGGACAGCCTGTTTGACTGTGGAGACCAGACCTGTATAAGCCCTACCTTGAAGTGTAATGGCAGGATTAACTGTAACTTCTCCTATGATGAAATGAAGTGTAAAAAAGGTAATGACCAGGTTCCTTGAACTTTTTTCATCAACTTTTCCTCACCAATGTCTGTGCTAACTGCTCAATATTTACAAGAGGCCTGGCATATGGGCGCTGACTTTAAAGAAAAAATAATTACAGAATTACAGAAATGTGCAAAGAGAGATATAATTGGGAATATCTAGTGAAAAATGTCCCTTTGGCCCTGGTAAAAGGTAGCAGTTCACCCTTTTATAAAAAATATTTTATATACTGAGTTCAGGCCAGTAAGAGTTGGATGGGAAGTGGGGTGGAATTCAACAAATCCACCACTTTGGCAGGAAAAAGGTCAACTCTGTATCAAAATTTATTCCAGGTTCTAGGTTAAATGAGTGATTAAAGTTTCAGAAAAAATCTCCCATTTGAAATAGCAGGCTACAGGTCCAGAGCTTAATCAAAAGGCTACCATATTAAAAGTTTTTCAGCTAATTGAACTTATTTGTCTCTGTTATATGTTGTCAGCACTGTAAATGAAGCCAAGTTCAACCTAAGCTTTTTAAAAATATAATTTCAGAGGAAGACAGCCTTACAACTCCACTAGAAATGAAATACCATGCTGTGATACTGGGAGTGGTTGGAGGTTTACTGGTTATCATAGTGGCAGTATCCATTTGTCTCACAGTAAGACATAGGCGTGAGGAGGCCAGGCTTCGGCAAAAATTACGTGAACGAGTTGTATTAGACCCAGTGGAGATTCAGAAGCTACTGCTAACAAACATGAATGAAGTTATTGTCCCAAATACTCCAACTGGGCTGCTAGATGAGGAGAGTGCACTAAAAGTTTCAAGACGTTTTCACAGTGATGACATTACAGCTGTTAAGCGGAATGGTGTCTTTCATATCTCTCTGGGAAACCCATCCTCACAAACATCCAGTAGAGGGCGAGGTAACCAAGAGGAGCTGGTCCCAGAAAAAGATGACTCTGATTATGAGACTGAAGAAATGGCATGTGGGAATAAATATGAAAGCTCTGAGAGCATCTCAAGAATACTTGATGAAGCAAATGGCAATGGATCTTCAAGAAACGCAACTCCTCGCAAAGTTCCAACTGTTGTGTGTATAGAAACACCACCAAGACAGGCTTCTCTAGATAAAGCTGTAAGTGATCCCATGTTAAGTACAACATCATCTGTTATATCAAATAACACACAGAGAACAAGCCCTAGCCCCCCACCTCCACCTCTTCCTTCAACACAGGTGCCCCAATCACAAAGTGGTAACAACAGTAACCGCCAAAGTCCAGCACGCAGTCCTGGTCGAGGTGGAAGGCGGCGAAGGCGAAGTAAAAAAAGTGACAGAAATAGAGTTGATGCAAATAAAAATAATCCAGAGGTCATAGCAATGATCACTTTAAATGACCAGGATGTTCAAAAGGATTCACAGCAAGGACCCACTACTTCTTCCCCCAAACAGACATCTCTTCCTGACAAAAAGCAAAGCAATAAGTATGACAATCCTAGACTGAAACTCAGTGATAATCACAGCAGGCGAGGTCCACCAAGTCCAAAGCCTGATGTGGTACAGGACGAAAGAGTTTGGGAACGAAGCAGGGGCAATGTAACAATACCAAACACAACAACCGATGCCGATGTAACAGTTCGCGCGCCACCTACATCACAGAGCTTAAAACAATCTCACTCTGGACAGCCAGTGTGACACGCTTTGAGTGAATGGTCTGGTGACCATTGAAAAAAACCTGGCATCTACACCCATAGTTTCTGTGCTTGTGGGCTATCTGTGTTTAATTTGCTGCTGTCACCATTATCTTAGGGCTCATAGACAGCAATGATCTAACACCAGGCTCTAGATCAAGGAGTTCCAAAATGCACAGACCAAGTAATATTGATAAAGCTCACAGTAATGTGATCAAGGCTTTTTGATGAAGGGTCAAAATGTCATTACTTGGCTTATGAGTCTCCTGATTTATATATAATTATATGGTAATTAATCTTTTTTTACCAATAGTGTCTGGAAGAAATTCTCCAACGTTGGCACATGACACTAAGTGTGAAGTGTGAACAGCAAAAAAGGAAAAAGGAATATTGAAAAAGGAAAATACGAAATGTAACTTAATTTTCTTAAGGTCTTTGAAAATATTCCAGAGATAAGTGGTCTTTTGGCTGAATGGGACCCTTTTATTCTTTCATTTTCCTGATCACGTGACCTCCATTTTAGTTAATTCTTAGTTATTTCATGCTGCCAACTTCAAAAGACAACATACATGTATATGGGACATCAGTGCCAGATTTCTAAGAAAATATGATAAGGGTAATATAATATCCTTACATTTAGTAGGTGGACTTCCATTAACTTAGTCTTTTGAAAGGCTCTCAACAACCATTCTTAATGCAATCCATCATTCTCTGAGGAAAGGGTTTCAAAATCAAAAAGATGCCAAGGTGATCCTTGGTGATCTATGGACTTTTTCTGCTTGGGTGTTGTCCAGATAGTTCATTTTACCTAGAAATGACAGTCTTGTCCAAAAGCAATGACAATAGAGGTGATAATTTAGTAATAACATTTGGCAAAACATAAAAGCCACAGAGAGATCAGCACACAATAAAAATCAGATTATAGAGTCCCCCAAGAGTCTGGCTTGAAAAGTGATTTTGAGTGTTTCTTGATCAACACCACCAGTCTAGAAAGATACTCTGTCTGGTCAAACTGTAAACAGTAGTTGGAATTAAGCAAAGCAGCAGGTAAAAATTTAAAGGCATATGTATAGCTGATGGTACCCTGAGCATCAGAACCTAAATAGAGAATGTGGTTACCTGATGGTAACATGAGCATGAGACCTGAAAAAGGGCACATCGTTACCTGATGGCACACTGAACATCAGAACTTGAAGAGAGAATATGGTACCTAATGGTAATAGCCAGGTCTAATGTAAGATCCACAGCTACTGAGAGTGTCTATACTCACATTTCACAAATCTAATTTCCAGGCATCTTACTACATGGTACTGAAATAGGTTTACGTTATACCTAATTTGAATGGAAATTTGTATTATTTGATTCTGAGGTGAATGGAAATATACTTCAGTTAAAGTACTTAAGTTAAACTGAATCTTTGTATTCAGAGCCATGTACAACTGAAAGCATTACTTTTTTCTGCTAGTACATTTGCGTCAAGGAATATTGAATCAACAAATTTTTGTCAAGTATTATATATTATTATTAAGTATGAATTCTATATAAATAATATGAAATCAACTGAATTTGTTGGATCCAAATTTCATGTAAATATGTGTTGTTATGCATACATTTCATTGATAAAAAAAACCCAAATGAAAGCATACTGAATAAATACCTAGAGATGTTAAAATCACTTTAATGGATGTATTTATTTAGGATGGAAACATGCAACTTAAACATTTTAAGTCTGAGTCATTTCATTGTGTTGATGAATTGCATTAAGCTCCTTTCTGGTTTGTTTGTGATATTGATGCACACATTAGAATTCCAGAACTTGTTAACCTTTTTGTACTTCCCAAATTAAATTTTATACAATAAAATAAATGGGGGAATCACCAGTGTTACTATTTATTTTTAATCCTTCCTTTTCTCTTAACTTTCATACACTTGTTTATGCACTCTAATACTAATACATATAATAGTAATTCTTTTTTTTTAACATACTTAAGCTGGATTTTACAGTTAACTTACTGCTAACCCAGTTGGTGAGTAACAACATCTACTCACCAGTCTGATGAATGCCTCTGAGGAAAATATCCAGCTTGTGTTAAAAAAGTTACTATTATGTGATTCAACCACCAGCCTAATAAACATTTTTACTTATTAATATTTTTAATGCACTTATTAAATAAAATATTTACTTCTTAAGCTTGATATCCTTGATATTCAAAATATAAAAACAAAGAAGGAAAGTTTAATCCCATATATGAGGTATAACGTTTATCTTGTGGAAAGAAAAAAATGAGTAAGACTCCTATTATACTACAAAAAATATAATTAATATATGATATAATATGCATTATCATTAATATAACAGTAAATTAAACACAACTGGGAAGGACTACAGATAGATAAAACATATTGCAAAACAATCTAATATGGTCTCTTGTATAATTATGTTACATTTCACCTAATGGAAATGATAACTAGAGAATAATTGATATTAATGATATTGAGGACATTTCTCTCCTCTTGATACTATCAAAGCAACCCTTAAAATAGAGAACTTTTTGTTGCTTTCTTTGTGCATTTGTTTTTCGTAAATATGGATCCTATAGTTCCACATAAACAAATAACACACCTTTAAATAAAATCTGTTGCCTTAAAGTTTGCTTTCAAAGCCATATATATGAAGTGATTATATTAACCTAGTTTATGCTTACGCAAAAATAGAGAAATCATGAAGAATTCTAAAATAAATAATAACTCAAGGTTTTACATTAGAAAAAAAATGTTTCAACACATCAGCAATTTCCTATTTATCACAATTCATACAAAGCTTGGTCATGAATCACCACAAAATATTTCACTCCAAGCCCAAGTTATTTCTTGATGTCAAGGCATCACTCCATCTCATCACGGCACCATTGGATAATGTCCCAGTTATATATGGGTAAGTTTTCAGGATTTTCAGTCTTAATTTTGATTGATTTTTATGTATGGTCTAAATGCGATGAGAAATTTTGAGTTAAAACTTTCACCCCTGGTGCTATCATAGTGACCCTTTAAATTTGAAAGTGTTTATTGTCCCTTACTATAACTATTATCCACAGCCAGGTGGTCGTCTGTGGGCTATATCAATTTTCACCAGTTTTACTTTTACCAATCCTCTACTGTAACAGTTCTTGTAATAGGATAAGGTATTAAGGTGTCATATTTTTAAAAAGTTTTTTTTTTATATTGTCCTTTATCATCAATAAAATTGTGACCTGCAGTGATCTCTGATCGTTCATGCAGATTCCTGTTTCATCTTGTATGCATGCACGCTACCTTTCTCTGCGTACTTGTGATGGCCTTTATCTGCCCTCCTTTTCTTGAAGAACATTTTGTGATCATGGTCATGTTCTTGGTCGCTAAGGTGATCGTCGCCAGGGTCACCATATCCACCGCCACCTGGTGTTAACAGACGGAACCGATCCTACAGAAATCAAAGAGCATTGATTAATTGAGAGTGACAAGAAAAATGACTAATATAACTCAGTAACTATTTGTTCACATTGAAGTAATGCATTATGAGTATTTGAAAATGTTAATGTCATTACCAAGAGATCAAAATAAATAGTTAGTGAGGCACTTCAAAAAACATTATGCTCATCTAAGGAGTTAATTGCAAAAATCCTCAGCTTCAAACACACTAAAATTGTGAGGGGGCTCATGTATCCTCTGTCTTGTGTTTCAAAAAATGTTCACTGCCCAGCTACAAAAAATCCGCAAATTATCCGAGAGAAAGCTGGACTGTGTAAGACTTAACTGCCAAGCAGGCACCCAATGTTTCTGAAAGTTACTGGACGTTTTCTATACTTTTCTATTCACAATCCTTACTAAAATACTTCTCTTCAAAAGAGGGGAGAGAGGAGAGGGAAAAAACCTTAAATTTCACAGTACTTGCACTTAAAACAGAGTAAAAATTTGTCAATGATAAATTTTTGATAATTATTTATCTCACTGAGTTTCACGCAGGGCAACCACTACAACCATGCCACCTACATCACCAAGATATCACTCACCCCTGCTGATACTGTTACTGAACACTTGGACCCCAGATTTACCACTCTGTCGTCTGCATGAATCAACAGATTTAATCCACGTTGTCCTGCTTCACCACCTGTACATCATAAAAGAAAAAAGCTACAACTATAACAAAATATAGAAAGAGAGTCAAAATTTTAGTCTTTACTGACTCCCAGACTGAAAGACTGAAAAGTCAGGAAATGATATGGGCAGATGAAATCTGTTAAGATGAAATAAAAGCCCATGAAGACAGAATAAACTACTACCATATAAATATATATAACTTCATTACAAAAGTAACTTAAGGAATATCAAAGGATTAAAATAACTAACTGTTGTTGTCTTTGACTTAACACATACATACAATCATCAAATGCTGCTTAGCACTTTATTTTACATATATTAAAACGACAGCGACCATCAGAAAAAAGGTTAAGACTGTATGAACAGTGAAATGAAATCAAAGTCTACGACCCACTCAATGACATAATAGTGGGAAGTATAATAAGACTGAACAGACATCACACAATGATCCTCACCAAACAATCCATAGGGTCTGAACACCCTCCTCTCAGTGAGGATGCTGAGAGTCAACCTCTTCCTAAACAAAAGCTCTCTCATCACTCCATCTCCGCCACTGTACTTGCCACGACCACCGCTTCCATGGTTAAGACTGAAGCAGTTCAACACTACAGGATACCTAGAACAGATAAATAATAGAGGATCCATAAAACACTGCAATATTTCACTACTGAACTTCCAGCAATGTTATCATAATAAAATGCATTGGGCCTGATATCTATCTAAAAATCTGTCAGTCAAGGCTTTCCACAAAGAACCGTCCAGCTGTCATTTGGATGGCATATTTTGCCTCAAAGAGCAGCGTAAAAGGCTAGACAGCTTACATAATTTTTGGGAAATGACGGGTTGGTTGGTTGGTTGGTCTTGCTTGGGTTGAACTCCCTGTAAATATGATGACCAAATTATAAATTCACATTCTGGACTCCCTGTACCCCAACTCCTGGGGAAAACCCCTGCTATCAGAAAAATCAAAACTTGAAGAACATTTTTTTCTACTTGCTCACTTTTCAAAATCTAAATGTCAGAGTGAGAATTACCTTTTTTCCAATATTTCAGGATCTGTGATTCGTGTATTGGTCATGTGGGTGTGGACCCCTCCTCTGCCATGCCACCCTGGACCCTGAAAACATGGCCAAACAACAATTCATTTTATATTATGGCAGAAATGCTTTTTTTTTTCAACTTCAATATACCATCAATTCACAAGAGAACAAGTACACTATCTAGGTGGATGGATGGATGGATGGATGGATGGATGGATAGGTGGATGGTTGGATTGATGGTTGGATGGATAGTTAATAAAAGAAATAACTCATTTAATGGATGAACTTTTGAAATATTCTTCCTATGAATCTAAGAACCTCATCAAGACATCTATGCAAAATCTTATAATCCAGTACTAAAAACCATTAAGTAGTATATCATATCTAGCCCCTTAAAAGTTCTTTTAGAATTTTTTAACCACATGATTTGAAATTCTTTCTTTCAATAATGTTACTTCAGAATAACAGTAAAATACCAATACTTACAGCTCCAGCCCCCCCAGCCACTGTCTCATAGTATCCTGAGTCTCCGTCTCCAAATGTCAGATTGTTCATGCTACCCTAAAATTTTATCCAAACAAGTCTAATATTAATCCACATGCAATGATGAAACTGCTATTAAGAGAAAAGTGAGAAAATATGGCATGGGTCTAGGTGGTTGCTAGGCCATTGATAGTTCGAGCTCCCAAAAAGTCAGAAATCTGCCAATAGTTGGAAAAATCTCATCTCTGTATATTTCTCCGTAATTATCTTAATGTGTATGAAGCCAAGCAACCACATTCTTTTTTTGTTTTGTATGAAGTCTTTTACATTGCCTCATAGTTAAAAAAACATTTGGCATCTTCAGAATTTTTTTAGTTATGGCCACAGCATTACCTGAGAGGCAGCACAAACAGCGAAAGCCTTAAGTATGACATCAACCACTCTTTGTGATGTTTCCACGTTGCCCCCGACGACAGCCGCATCATTGGAGGGATCAAGAAGACACCCTTTGGGGATCACAATCTGGATGGGATTCAAGCAGCCCTAAAAAGATAAGCAAAAATCACAAACTATCAAATAACAGAATTATGTAGTCTCTAGTCCCGAAAGGATATTCATTTAGTCTGCACCTTCAATTTATTCAGGAAAATGGTCACTTTCATAATATAATAATAGTTTAAAAAATCAAAAAAAAAACTTAATCTATAACATAAGGGTTAGATTGCTTGGGCTTGACCACTGTAAAAAATCTTTCATNCAGTTCTTGTAATAGGATAAGGTATTAAGGTGTCATATTTTTAAAAAGTTTTTTTTTTATATTGTCCTTTATCATCAATAAAATTGTGACCTGCAGTGATCTCTGATCGTTCATGCAGATTCCTGTTTCATCTTGTATGCATGCACGCTACCTTTCTCTGCGTACTTGTGATGGCCTTTATCTGCCCTCCTTTTCTTGAAGAACATTTTGTGATCATGGTCATGTTCTTGGTCGCTAAGGTGATCTTCGTCAGGGTCACCATATCCACCGCCACCTGGTGTTAACAGACGGAATCGATCCTACAGAAATCAAAGAGCATTGATTAATTGAGAGTGACAAGAAAAATGACTAATATAACTCAGTAACTATTTGTTCACATTGAAGTAATGCATTATGAGTATTTGAAAATGTTAATGTCATTACCAAGAGATCAAAATAAATAGTTAGTGAGGCACTTCAAAAAACATTATGCTCATCTAAGGAGTTAATTTCAAAAATCCTCAGCTTCAAACACACTAAAATTGTGAGGGGGCTCATGTATCCTCTGTCTTGTGTTTCAAAAAATGTTCACTGCCCAGCTATAAAAAATCCACAAATTATCCGAGAGAAAGCTGGACTGCGTAAGACTTAACTGGCAAGCAGGCACCCAATGTTTCTGAAAGTTACTGGACGTTTTCTATACTTTTCTATTCACAATCCTTACTAAAATACTTCTCTTCAAAAGAGGGGAGAGAGGAGAGGGAAAAAACCTTAAATTTCACAGTACTTAAACTTAAAACAGAGTAAAAATTTGTCAATGATAAATTTTTGATAATTATTTATCTCACTGAGTTTCACGCAGGGCAACCACAACAGCCATGCCACCTACATCACCAAGATGTCACTCACCCCTGCTGATACTGTTACTGAACACTTGGACCCCAGATTTACCACTCTGTCGTCTGCATGAATCAACAGATTTAATCCTCGTTGTCCTGCTTCACCACCTGTACATCATAAAAGAAAAAAGCTACAACTATAACAAAATATAGAAAGAGAGTCAAAATTTTAGTCTTTACTGACTCCCAGACTGAAAGACTGAAAAGTCAGGAAATGATATGGGCAGATGAAATCTGTTAAGATGAAATAAAAGCCCATGAAGACAGAATAAACTACTACCAAATAAATATATATAACTTCATTACAAAAGTAACTTAAGGAATAGTAACTTAAGGATTAAAATAACTAACTGTTGTTGTCTTTGACTTAACACATACATACAATCATCAAATGCTAATTAGCACTTTATTTTACATATATTACAACGACAGCGACCAACAGAAAAAAGGTTAAGACTGTATGAACAGTGAAATGAAATCAAGGTCTACGACCCACTCAATGACATAATAGTGGGAAGTATAATAAGACTGAACAGACATCACACAATGATCCTCACCAAACAATCCATAGGGTCTGAACACCCTCCTCTCAGTGAGGATGCTGAGAGTTAACCTCTTCCTAAACAAAAGCTCTCTCATCACACCATCTCCGCCACTGTACTTGCCACGACCACCGCTGCCATGGTTAAGACTGAAGCAGTTCAACACTACAGGATACCTAGAACAGATAAATAATAAAGAATCCATAAAACACTGCAATATTCCATTACTGAACTTCCAGCAATGTTATCATAATAAAATGCATTGGGACTGATATCTATCTAAAATCTGTCAGTCAAGGCTTTCCACAAAGAACCGTCCAGCTGTCATTTGGATGGCATATTTTGCCTCAAAGAGCAGCGTAAAAGGCTAGACAGCTTACATAATTTTTGGGAAATGACGGGTTGGTTGGTTGGTTGGTCTTGCTTGGTTTACTCCCTGTAAATATGATGACCAAATTATAAATTCACATTCTGGACTCCCTGTACCCCAACTCCTGGGGAAAACCCCTGCTATCAGTAAAATCAAAACTTGAAGAACATTTTTTTCTACTTGCTCACTTTTCAAAATCTAAATGTCAGCGTGAGAATTACCTTTTTTCCAATATTTCAGGATCTGTGATTCGTGTATTGGTCATGTGGGTGTGGACCCCTCCTCTGCCATGCCACCCTGGACCCTGAAAACATGGCCAAACAACAATTCATTTTATATTATGGCAGAAATGCTTAACTTCAATATACCATCAATTCACAAGAGAACAAGTACACTATCTAGGTGGATGGATGGATGGATGGATGGATAGGTGGATGGTTGGATTGATGGTTGGATGGATAGTTAATAAAAGAAATAACTCATTTAATGGATGAACTTTTGAAATATTCTTCCTATGAATCTAAGAACCTCATCAAGACATCTATGCAAAATCTTATAATCCAGTACTAAAAACCATTAAGTAGTATATCATATCTAGCCCCTTAAAAGTTTTTTAGAATTTTTTAACCACATGATTTGAAATTCTTTCTTTCAATAATGTTACTTCAGAATAACAGTAAAATACCAATACTTACAGCTCCAGCCCCTCCAGCCACTGTCTCATAGTATCCTGAGTCTCCGTCTCCAAATGTCAGATTGTTCATGCTACCCTAAAATTTTATCCAAACAAGTCTAATATTAATCCACATGCAATGATGAAACTGCTATTAAGAGAAAAGTGAGAAAATATGGCATGGGTCTAGGTGGTTGCTAGGCCATTGATAGTTTGAGCTCCCAAAAAGTCAGAAATCTGCCAATAGTTGGAAAAATCTCATCTCTGTATATTTCTCCGTAATTATCTTAATGTGTATGAAGCCAAGCAACCACATTCTTTTTTGTTTTGTATGAAGTCTTTTACATTGCCTCATAGCTAAAAAAACATTTGGCATCTTCAGAATTTTTTAAGTTATGGCCACAGCATTACCTGAGAGGCAGCACAAACAGCGAAAGCCTTAAGTATGACATCAACCACTCTTTGTGATGTTTCCACGTTGCCCCCGACGACAGCCGCATCATTGGACGGATCAAGAAGACACCCTTTGGGGATCACAATCTGGATGGGATTCAAGCAGCCCTAAAAAGATAAGCAAAAATAACAGAATTATGTAGTCTCTAGTCCAGAAAAGATATTCGTTTAGTCTGCACCTTCAAATTTTTCAGGAAAATGGTCACTTTCACTTGCAGATAATAATAGTTTAAAAAATCAAAATATGAAAAGAAAAAAACTTAATCTATAACATAAGGGGTAGATTGCTTGGGCTTGACCACTGTAAAAAATCTTTCATTTTTTTTTTTTTTTTAATATCAGACCAAATCTACTCCGGAATTGCACCTGGATTTGGGTGATAACACTGCAGGCTGTTTAATATATTATTTTATCCTAATTCATAAATGTAAAGCTCCAGCTCACCTGGTTCAGTGGCACATCATGGCCCACCATACACCTTAAACAGTNTTTTTTTTTTTAAATATCAGACCAAATCTACTCCGGAATTGCACCTGGATTTGGGTGATAACACTGCAGGCTGTTTAATATATTATTTTATCCTAATTCATAAATGTAAAGCTCCAGCTCACCTGGTTCAGTGGCACATCATGGCCCACCATACACCTTAAACAGTATATGATGGCAGAGAGAGTTATGGCGCGGGGTGCGTTTGTGTTACCAAATATCTCATGACCTGTCCCGGTGAAGTCAAATACTGCACTGCCCTGAGGTAAAAGGTAATCAAAAGTTGATATTTCATATATATTGTATATATTGTATATTATAATTGCAGACTTTCTCTAATAGTTTCTTCACAGCAACAGTTAAAATTTAGTTGTTTCCAATATTTTTTGTGTCTTTCTTGCAGTTGTCATCATCTTCAGCCTCATTTTTCTTAGCAAGCCATCAAAAATGTTCATTTTAACCTTTAAAAAACATAGCAAATATATAAAATAGTTTTAATTTGAGGCATATTTGATAGCAACATTATTTAACCACCTGTAACTCAGCTATTATTTTCCACCATTAATACACTAAGATTACCTGCAGTATGATATATTTACTTACCTCTTTCTCAGAGATCTCTACAGAAAGACGGATATTGCTGCCTGTGTCCATGAAATCCTCCGCCTGTAGCCTGGTGGTGCCTGTCCTCTCCTTGGTGGCTGCCGCGATCTCCTTCAGCATGTCTCTGACAGCCACCTCTGCATTGGTCTGGAGATATGTTAATTATGTTGACATAAGTAAAAATATTTTCCCACATCCCACAAACTTTTTCCACAAGTTATACGTATGATAAATAGACACTACTATCATTCCTGTTCATTTCAAACACATAATGGTGTTTTTTTACACGATATACTTAAATCTGAATTACAATCTATTTTAAATTGGCGCTCTAAGTGACAACTTAATAATTTTAGGAACCCTTAAAAAAAAGCACAAAAATAACAGTGTCTAAATATCATCATATTGGCATTTGCTATGTACATTTTCCATATCTTAAAGTAACATTACCTGAATGTGTGTCATGTAAGCTTGCACCACATCCAACCCATATTCCTCAATTAAACCACAGATCAAATCAATACCCTAAAAGATAAGTAAAGCAGTGTATTAATCACATGAGCTGTGACCCTTAACATTCAGCTATTAATATACATGTAGTAACTGTTATCTTTTCAAATACTTGCAACATGTTCTTTGGTCATACACAATACAGACTAAAACTACACCTTACACAAATACTATAACAGACGCTCTTACACAGGGCACATTAATAATACACAATATACTTAAGGATACAATATATGTAAAACATACAGCTGGGGTATTGATAGATTAGAATATCTATCAAGGTAGGATAGATATCTCCACATACATCTCACTGACCTTTCTACAAGCTGCCACTTGAGCTCTCAGATCACTGATGTTATCGTTGAGATTCCTTGTCCCGCTGCATCCTGGGTATTTTCTAGGTTCCATCAGGGCCTCTGTCAGTGCTGATGAAGAAAAATAATTACTGGTGCTCAACAGGTTAATACATAATTTATCCTTTCATTCTTTTCTCCAAAAAACCTTTATATTTATATTTATATTATTGTGCTGAACTGACACAGGTTAATATATGATTTATCAGTTTATTTTTTTTCTAAAACACCTGCCAAAAAGCATCCATATTTATCCAGGTTGGTGAAATGTGAATGAAAAGATGATTATGCTTTGTGTTCTTTAAATTGTTTATAAATGATTTGAAAAAGTATTGAATTATTAAGTACAGTTTGTACTGGCATTGTTTCTCTGAGTCAGCAACAGAGATACACAAACAAATTTTAAAAAATGGATCACACAACAATTTACATTGAAGTTCAGGAGGACAGTACCTTCTTCTTGAAACTTCCCTGCCTCGACCAGTTTGAATGATTTAAAAACTGCCCCCTCCTGCATAATGTGTGTGGAGTGTGGGGGCATCGACCCCGGGGTGTCACCCCCAATGTCGGCATGGTGACCCCTTGCTGCCACAAAGAACACTGGCTTCTCAATGCCTTTAAAGAACACCTAGAATACAGGAGCAGAAAGAATTTGATTGGCACATTACATGGTTATTTGAATTGGTTGCACAGCAACAGATATTCATCAGCATACCGACACAATTTTCAATGACTCCAAGAAACGATACAAGTGTGTGTGTGTGTGTGTGTGTGTGTGTGTGTGTGTGTGTGAGTGAGAGAGAGAGAGAGAGAGAGATTCTACTTCTACTTACTGGAGTGATAACAGTTAAGTCAGGCAAATGGCTTCCACCAGCACAGGGATGGTTGCTAAGGATGACATCACCTTCGTGGATATCGGAACCCAGGGTCTTAATCTGCAGTTACAAATACTTGATAAAAAAACATTGATATTATTGACCTCTCTATTTATCTTATCATATTTATGCAGGGTGTGAAAAGATCAAAGTTTCATGTCACTGTAGAAAACTTAAACATGATATTGCCAAGATTCCATTTTAGACCATAAATCTGTGTAAAACAACACGACATGTCTGTAAGGAAATTCACAGCTGCCAAAAAACAAACTTTCATCCCAGCATGAATTAATTAACTTAAGAGGCCATTTTATCAAGCTAAGTTTGTATACTTTTGGTTGAACAGACTTTGCAAAAATCTAGATTCTTGCTTTTTATATACCAAGTATATGCTTAGATTTTCAACAATAAGATTAAAATTGGGACATTACATATTCTCAAATAAACAGAATTAAGTCTACCTGGTATTGCACCGTCTCTTGCATGGCTCCCAGATGGACAGGAATATGAGGAGCATTAGCCACAAGACCTCCGTCTGGACCAAACATTGCACAAGAGAAGTCTAACCGCTCCTGAAACATTATTTCAAATAACATTTTAGGCAATTCACATAGGAATTAACAATCAAAATATTATATGCATTAAGATGTATTTCCCAGCCTAATTACAGACACACACATAAAATAAATCCCAAGTTCTCACAGATGTTTAAAAACACACACACTCACACTGTGACACATGCATGCAAACAAACACACACAAGCACAAAGATGAAGGACGGACAAGAACAAACACATATAAAACATAGGCAAATGCAAACATGCAGAAATTAATATACACATTTGTTCTTACAAACATTTTATCAAGCAATTTATTTCATAGGCAATTAATTTGCTGACCTTTATGTTTGTAGAAATAGCTGTCCTTTGCAAGACTCTGAAATATGAGATATCATAGTTTCAAGAAGGTACAGTCATGATTAAACAGTGACATTATCAGATATCCAACTGATAAGAAAAAGACAAAGAACTGTTGTACTGTGAAATCTTTAATATTTTTCAATAGCTAAAAATATTAAAATTTGGCTTTCCGATTGCACTGCTATTTTATTATCTATTCTATTTAAAATGTTAACTTTTCAATAAAAACATATTAAAAACTATTATATGATGTTTATATACCTTCCCATCTGTTCAGCAATACTCATAAACCTATGAGAGAAAATGGATAGCTGGATAGCATTCAGCTCTGGGCCTACTTTATCAGTCTTAACATCTCCAATCTGGAATAGGAAAACAATTATTAATATATATAATAACTTTTTTTATTTTACACTATATGCCTATAGCTATTGTATAGAATATGCTTGTATTAAATATCCAAGACCATGACAGCAAAAGTGGATGAATCATTGGGAATAGAGTTGAAATCAAGAAATTCTGTATATCAAAACCATTCCAAGCGAGAAACTTTTAAGCCTACTGTACCTTCGGGTAAAAGGGTCTATATGGAAAAAAATTCCTGGCCTAAAGCAAAAACAAATAACTAAAAAAAATTGACAATATTTTACAGGCCCCAATTTACTTTTTAAAAGTGGTATTTGGCAAAGCACCAGTGNGGTGACTAATAGTAAAAGGACCAAAGTCATAGAAACAAAGCCCTGGGCTTATAACTTTTTATAAAAAATTAAAACAAACTTCCCAAAAGGCCAATTTAAGACGGGGATTAAGTACAGTGTCCAACGGATGACGCTATAGCGCCAATCTGAGGGGAAAATTGCCGTTTTCGGTATTGGGATTTTCTCTATAACCAAGACAGCTATTCAAGTGATTCAAAAGGCCTCATAAAGCTGGGTGAAAGCACTACAGTGGGATACCAGGGAATTGTCTTAAACTATTTACTTTTGATTTTATCATCTTTTACGTTAAATCAGCCCATATTTCAATGGGTTATTCACTTCAAAAGACGATAACTTTCAAACAAACAATTTCCTCTTAAACCCCTGATATCATGCTGTAGGCTACATTCCCAACAACAATAGGTGCAACTTTTGTAACGATCGGTTGCTCAGATAGTGAGATATACTTGGCAGCGATTCACCTATCTCGTCAATATAGAAAGCTGTTAAAACAGCTCAAAACGTTCACAGGTTGGTTAACAGAGCTTATTAGTCAAATGCTTAGGTGGCAAATTTACCTGTTATCGGTTATACGATCAGGTGGAACCATTGCTCATTGCCATCTAAAAATATTTTGTTTGGGTGCTTTGAAAGGGCAGAAAATCGTGTTTTTGTTACATTTTCCGACCACTCGTTAGGCTTGTAAGCGTGCCGCCATTTTGATTGACAGCTCTGGAGAGGGCCCTAGCCTAGTGATGCCCAGTAGGGTGTCAAAGATATGTAGAAGGAAGCGCTAACAAAGGCGATTACATTTAACCGTAATTAAGAAGTGTGAAGTTGCATTTGAACGTTTCAATGGCTTTTCCTCGGCAAACGAGTAATTTTACCTGAGAGATTCCTTTTCTGTTATCGGCAAAGTGATCAGGTAAAACTGTCTGTCGAGAGCAAGTGGCCGTCACTTGTGTTAATAAGAGTTTTTTGACGGGTAACGCTGCAGGATTATTTTGCACGGCACTTGGTAATCGTCAGATCAACCGAAAAATCTAGTGATTACTTCAGAGCGGTCTCTCTCAAAATGCCAGCTAAGATAAAGGGGAGACGTTCAGCTGCACAAGATTCAGCGGTAAAAGTGGCTGAGAGAAGGCTTTTGAATAAATATTTTATTTTTACACACATGACACTTAGACCCTATTTGCTTTTTACCTGCTAGTCTTGACTATTTTCAGGGTCTTTTTGTGATTTTCATTTTTGGATACATTTTGAACTCTTTCATCCCGCTTGATCAGTGATTTTGAAATTGTTTTTCTCCAAACATCGCAAAATGCAAAGCCGCTAACATGCGTTTTCATTTTTATTGTTTTAATCATGCTGTCAACCCTTGCTTGGATTTCTCTCGTTTGGCCATTCACATCACAATTTTTCACGTGTCTCTCAAGCTCCATGATATCATATCGTGGAGAATAAAATTTTATTTTGTCAACATTAGATTTACCTTTTGCAAACGGCGACCAACAATCATTTCCGGTTTCGTAACGTGTCGCAGATACGCTCGCCGATATATATCTCAAAAATTAAGAGCTAGGCCAAAAGTATCCTTTTTAGCGTTTTTTTTTAAATTTATTTATCGATTTTTCTTTCATTTGTCAATTAATTTAGACGATTCGATTAACTCTTTCACCCATTTATTAGGTATACAGAAATCAGTTATCCGACTGAACAAATAGGGCCGGTTTTCCCCAACCGCCACGCATAGGCCCTACTCTCTTTCAAAATTTTCTTTCTTCCCTCTGGAAATGGACACGAACTTTTCTCTTCCCCATAGTGTACTAGCTAGACTTCTTCGCTGTTAAGCTGATGTAAGACTTATGACCTATTACCGCACACGTAATCGGCTTATAACTCATTAACTGTGCTCCGACCCCCTCATGGCAACGGCCCTTAGTAACAGAGGCGTGGCTTAGTCGTCAGCCTGACTGGGGCTCGTGCCAGTTGAAAAACTCATCAAAAGACACATTTTGCGATGCAAATTCATAAAAATTATTACATCCAATGTTAGATACTTTTTTGATTAATATAAACACACAAAAAACTCAAAAACATGATTTTAAGCGTATTTAACCCTATCACCGGCCTTAAAAGTGGTATTTGGCAAAGCACCAGTGCTGATGTAACAGACTCATTCCCCCCCCCCTTCCCCCTTGAGACTGTCAGGTACTTACATGTATCTTCACATCCCCATGTCTAGTTATGACAGCTTCACAGGCTGGCTCAATGAGAATAGTGCTGAAATGAGTTTATTAAATAAGGAATAGGCATCTGTGTATTTTATTTATTTTATTTATTATATTTATTCACAACAAAACATGCACTAATCCTAGTATGTATCCAAAATGTTCAACTTGTCTCATGTGTGTTATTAGTATAATTTTAATAGTTGGGATTTATTTTGTTTTTCTTTTTATTGACAAGCACTTTTACATTTAGCCAGTTTTTTTTTTTTTCAGATTTTCAGAAAAAAAAATTGTATTAGTATATGAAGTATTCTATGTAAAAGCTATTTGTCAGTGACGCTTACAGATGAAAGCAATTTTCTAAGGTACATACTGCTAAATCAAATTACTGGTCTATTATCTGGCTTTCTGTTAACAATTACACAGGTGTATTGTTAAAACCTCCTTAAATCTTAATAAAAGTCCAAAGAATTCAATAAATATGATACCTGTTCCCATTCATAATGATAGCAGGCCCATGAATCTTGTGCCCTGCCTGTAATTCTTCCAGTAGATAGACACTTGTTTCCAGGTAGCCATCTTCAAAGTAGCATTTGGTTTTCTGGAAATGATGCATAAATGTGAATTGACTACTTTGTTAGCAAGAAATACCCTTGATAAAGAAGGTTGGAAGATGTCACCACCTATAACGCCATTCAATTATTTAAACAAGTGGCATTTGATACTAGTACTTGTGAATATTTCTGACTCAGAGATAAAAATATAACCTGTCTCAATTTTTGTATTTATTAAACAAGAGCTCCCATTTTCTATATAAATATACTAAGTGTGTAAAAGTGGTGTCAAAGGAGTACAGCTCTCTGACTGGTTCCCCAAACTCACAGTTTTACTGACTGGTTCCCCAGTAGCATGTGGGATGTCTGGCTGATCTAAGACTCCAGTAGACCCTACCCCTCTCACTCTGATGTCATCTACTATAATATCTCTCTCTGGGATGGTAAATCCAAACTCCCTCTGGTATCTAAAATTAAATTTTTGTTATATTAGGCAAACTTATGATTGCTGTTTTGTGTTTATTGTCTGCCAAAGAGAAGCTTCAATATAAAAATTTTCAACAATTCTAAAACCATGGCTTATATATCTTTTATATATTACAATCTTGTTGACATTCTATATTAACTAAATCCTACAACTTTATCAACTGAGCCCTTAATAAATAAAATAAGAGTTTGTTTTACTTCACTCGTTGCCTACTACATTTACCTGGTATATCATCCCGATATCCATTTAAAATATCTATCAATGACGCAGATCCTCATTCACCCTGAGATTCAGAGGTCACTTGATATAACCTATTATTAGCACACCTCTGTTTGCAACATGACTACCAGTACAGCACAGGTTTGAGTGACCTATGAAACTCAGGGTACACTTACCTACTTTCACAGTCAGTCAGTCTGGTATTTAGGCAGTCCCTTACCTGTCCAGGAAGGAGGCCCTGAAGTCCCCATGTTTGGAGGAGTCCTCTGTAGCTGGGTTGCCTCTCCCTGGGCACATAAGGGCACAGTCTGTACCTCTGTACCTCAGATGGAGGTAGGGCTCCAGGTGAATCTGGTCCCTGGGGGTATGAAGTATTGGATCAGAGTGCATTTCAAGTTCACCACAACATTTACTCTGTTTAAATTATTCTATTATAATTTTTTTAAATTTTGTTATACTCATTTTCTATTAATATTATTATTATTAATATAATTATTATTATTATTATTATTGAACTATTTGAATTATGAGATTATTGTAGTTGTCTTATATAAAAAAGGTTTCTAAGGATATCAATCAAAATTCTTTACAGACAACTCATTCATCAAGTCATATTCAAACGGTTTTCTTAACTTTTTTTACCCAATACTTTTATCTTTTAGTTTGACAAAATGCCACACAAAAATCCATAGAACTTGTAAAAGTATTTCCAAAGTTATTTACAGTCACTGTGATTGTATTTCAATGACAAATTTTTATAATATGAAATGTTTTGGGTGACATACTTTTTAAATCCCTGTTCATGCAACTGTTGATAGCAGTCCTTCTTCAACTCATCAATGCGCTCATCAATCCTTGGGAAAGAATCTAAGAGAGAAAGAAAGAACAGCCTTGAGTGTTATTATAATAATAATGCTGCTCTTTAATAATGTAATACTGGAAATTAGATAGTCTACATTAAAAACTACAGTCAATGTGATAATATCTCTTTATTCTTAGACTACTGTTTAAAAAGAAAATTCTAATAATCAGCAAAATAAAATGGGCACATCTTTCTGTCTATGTCACAAAACTGTCAAATAAATATAATTTTGCAACAGCAAATTTTTGCCAGTGTTTACCTGGTCATAATACATGTCATCATTATTGTTACTGACCTTTACCATAGGTGGCAGCACAAGGCTCTTGTGCTTCATGTACCACATCTGCCAAAGCCATGCCATAGGCTGACAATATACCGGCATATCTAAAACAATAAATACACAAATATACATTCTTTAAAATTGTTTTGTTACCATATATGGATGTTACATCTGGAATTTAGTTTTACAATTTTACACTCAGTTTTAAATCCCCTGTTCTATACATTTTACTCTGACTTGTTTTTTAAGCTCAAGAAGGACAGGTACATGTAACTCTTTCTGCTCTTAAGTACGATACTGCACCAATAAAGGAAAACAAATTCTAAAAAAATGTCAGACCTATGTACAAATACAGTCTTCATTCCCAGTGATCGTGCTATGGAACATGCATGCTGGCCACCCGCACCACCAAAACATGCCAGGACATGACGAGATGTGTCGTAACCTCGGGCCTGAAAGATGGTGATATATTTCATTCAAATGCCACAGCAGGCAAGAAGCGAGTTGTCCTGCAGTAAAGTACAATGTAAAATTTAAATTCTTCATAAAATGTTCAATACAAGAAGTCAAGATTCTTTGATCTAAACTGTAAAAAAAGTCATATGTCTTTGGATTTCAACCCAAACTGTGTGTTGACACCAGGGATTGAAGATAAAGGAAAAAGTAAAAAAACATTACTTTTAATCCCTCATCACTTCTTAGCTGGGCTTTCTCTATTTAATTAAATAAACGTTTCTGTATATTTAAGAAACCATCTTTATTTTGACCATTTTTTTCAATCCTTTAAAATGAAAACTGGCTCCTTACTTCAGTCAGAGCCCTGATCGGCCGACACATGGCTTCATTGGCAACTCGGAGAAATCCCATGGCAACCTCCTCGATGCTCATGGCTTTATTGTGTGCGTTGTCTGGATTGCTGAGTAAGTATTTGTTAACCTGAAAAATAATTTTGCCATTACAATACAAATACAAATTCAACTCTTAAAAATAGAATATTATGTAATGTATCATAGATTGAAAATCAAATCATACAATCTATAGCAATCAGTATTACATGTCACTGAGTAACTGCAGAAAATGAATTACAAAATTATAATACGGAGATTTGAAAAAAAAAAAACATTACATCAACTGTTATATGTAAATGTCAGTTGCAAAATTAAATCGCTTACAAGAAAATATATAGGAAAGACACTCGAACTCTAACTACCATATAAGAATTAATTTCTATTGCTGACATAGTTTTTTAGGTATGACATTAAAGAGAATGCATAATATGTATATATGTACATAAGTTGTGACAGAGTTTACCTCTTTGGTCAGCTTTGTGAATGCTTTAACTGTGGCCTTTGTGTCCAAGGGGTCGTTTTCTGAGTGACCAAATATTTTAGGGAAGAAATCAGGCAGAAGTCTTCCAAGACAAAGGTTGGCATCAGTGATTGTCAGGGGGCCACCTGGAAAAGGAATGTGGATTCAAATGCTTTAATAATAATAATAATTTTTCATTAAAGTGGACTGTAAGTGACCACTTTTAAGTCAAAGTTAAAAAAATTTTTCACGAGTTAATGCCAATTTAAGATCTAGCAATCTGTGGTGATAATTACCTTTTTTATAGCACACAGGCCCAGGGTGGGCACCTGCAGACTCTGGACCAACAACAAACATCCCTGAGCGGAAGAATAACATGGATCCACCTCCTGCTGCCACTGTGTTGATGTCAAGCTGAAGTGATGGACCAAAACAAATGGTAAGATTTTTTTCTTCTTGTTTATGTGTATATGTCTTACTATTATTACGTTATTAAGCTTTGATAATACTGGCAGTATCTCTTTTTTTTTTTTAACTTGAATGAGAACACAGCCTGAAGAGAAATCCCTATTTTGTGCAGACCTGGTATATGGGTATGCCATTGTTAATTTTAAGTCTCACCTGTGGAGCTTGTATGGTTATTCCTGCTGTCGTTGTCTCAAACACATGCTCATAATGTCCCGCATACCTACTGACATCAGTGGATGTACCTGAAGCAAAATCCATTCATTTGTACAACTGTTTACAAGGCCTCAGTTACCAGGTAGATATGTCCATGACAACACAATTATGCATACTTCACAGTTGTGTTTTTACTAAATTTAAAAAGTCCTGTTTTACAATTCCCTGAATTATGTTATAGATGGGATTTGGGTGTCAATTTTCTTTTTTCTTTTCAGAAATTTCTCACAAAAGAAAACACTTTGGCAAACGCAAAGTATGGCCTTGCCTAAAGTGCTACATTTAAATAGCTATAATGAAAGCTCCCTCACCCCCCATATCAAAGCCTATGACTGGGGATTCCGTCTCCCTCTGGTATGTAGTCAGTGCATAGCCCACCACTCCACCAGCTGGGCCAGACAGGATTGCTCGGGATCCATTGAATCTGGAGTAATAGGCATTTATAATCATATTGTATTTAATAGGTCTTCTTATACTGATTAACTTGAAAAAGCACTGTGCATTTTAACAAGATTCAACAGGCGCAAATGGTGCAAATTAAATGTATAAATACTTTGTATGTCACTTCAACAAGACACATTAAGAATAGATTAACTTAAATATTTATCCTTAAATGAAGCAGCAACTGATAGCTTAGATTTGAAAACAAAAATTCTGTTGTGAAACCGATTCCAATTTAATTGAAGATGGAGTGTTTAGTGACCTACTTCCCAACAGGTGTCAAGCCTCCATCTGACTGCATGAACAGAACTCTCACTCCCTGGAAGAGACATTATAATACACATCTTATTATCTTAATCCCCAAAGAGGATGCCTCTGGTTCATTAATGCATATTACAGGTACTTCACATCTTATATTCTATTTTTAAAATATTGCAAGACTGATCCCAGACAAGCATTTTAAATTAATAGTATGCATTTTGAATACCTGTACTCAAGAAAAAATATCATACCCACCTGTGGTTTC